TTCCTTTCCACTCTCTGCAAGTTACCAGTTTTTATTTCCCTTTCTACACGAAGCAGAAACCTACATCCTGATTTTTTTTTAATGTTTTGGCAAAGATTTTGAATTGTGCACTAAGGCTGTAAAGCATACATTTTATTGACAATAATAATGTCTCTGCATGCAAATATTCCACCAAAACAAATTCCCCTTTTTCACTAGTTTGCAGGGGCACCATTGCTACATCCTGGGCTTTTAATGCCTGAGACAGAAGTGATTGGTTTAAAGAAATACAAATGCACCAGAGCATTTTTTCGCCCCAATAGCAGAGTGATAATGAGGTGCAGTCAGACCATTCTGCAGTGCTGACACAGCACTGTGGAGGTCAGTCAGGGTATGCGAGACTTTAGAGAAGTATGTTTGGAGAATAAAACTTTTTCCATAACTGGTGGGGAAAAAAATGCAAGAATGTCTGTGTTACATAGCAATGTTGTAAAATATTCTTTGTACATTTTTACAACCTTTAAACGAAGGAACCAAACAGATCTTCCCTAACTGAACAATCCAAGTCAAAACTTTCCATTTGTAGCATGTAGGCTGCTACCTCGGAGGTTATTTTTGTTGTTGTTTCCTGTAACAAAGGGGATTTTGAAGACGGTAGCATGCAGATAGCGGAAGGGGAGACAAATACGTGCCCAATGGCAGGCTTATATCCACAGTCTGCATCCACTATGCTCAGTTAGCTGGTGAAGCCACAAACCAAATCCTCTCAAAATTAACGTCTTAAACCTCTGTGTTTGGTTAAGCCCATGCCATTTCTGCCACAAAGTATCCCTCTCGCTGTAAATGCTTCAAAACACTTCCAAAGTGACTCATTTAGCAGGTTAGTGTAACGAACTGACCCTCAAAACTCATTTATGTCACATTCTTTCTCACTGTTCACATTTTCCTTTGACTGGTCAGGGAAAAAAATTGACTGAACTGCTCTGAGAAAAAAAAAACAAAAAAAAAAAACATTGGTAGCTTGAGTGTGGTTTAAGTGGGTCGCCAGAGAGTTTAATAGGCGAGGGGAAACCCTGAGATGGATCCAAGCGTGCAGACTTGAAGTCGGACAGACGTAGCTAGAGGAAGTCAGTGATGCACTTAACCACTCTCCTCAAAGGCAGGAAGACGAGGCAGCGCTAGACAGATGGGAAGAGGTGGAAAGATGGAGAAAAGAGCGAGAGAGGCTGAGGAAGTCAATAATGTACTTAACCTTACTCTACAGACTCCCCGTGTCCCTGTTATTGTAAGGCAAAGGAAGATGGCAGGAAGAGAGGGAGAGAGCAAAATGGCAAGACTCGGGAATGGAAATAGTCAGAGGCAGCAAAGAAGCGCTGTGTGTTTTTTTGTGAGCATAAATGTCAAAGTAGTTAAGTGTGTGCAGGGCAGGCGGGGAGGCCGGGGTACAGGAAGAGCCCCATATAAGAGGGAATAGCCCAGTTTTACTGCCACATAAATCTCTGCTCCCCACACTGAAGGTTGTAACACACCTCCTCTTTTGGCTTTCCTGCCTCCGTCTGGCAGCACGCTAAAGCCTCTTTTTGATTCCTGACTCTTATCTGCTGCTCTCGTTTTTCCTTCATTTCTCTCTTCTTCAGACTCTCTTGACCCATGCCCTGCTTTTATCCTCTTGCTGGCACTCTGTACATTTCTTCTTTTGACCCTGAAGCTGCCAGGGCCAGAGATTAAGTGTTTCTGTAGGCTGTGTTTTATTCTTCTTCTTTTTTTTTGATCGAGTCTTTTTATTCTTTTCACTTTTATTTTCATTGACTTCATGTCAGGGATGTGTTATAATAAAACTTTGGTTTGCAAAAGTGACTTTTATTCCTCTCATCATATCATATTTCACATTCTCACCTCTGAAGTCCAAAACCTGCTGGTAGATTTAAAAAGGCATGTTTTTTTTTTTTTAATGCCAAAATTACATAATTTATCATAGGAAGAAACTGTAAATAAAAATCATTGAATCTAAGCTTAAAATCGAGATATTTCATCAAAATCCTTTTATTCTACATTTGGATTTAAAAATAAAACAACCTGTTTGCAGTAACAAGATAACCTGAAAACCTAAAAATTCTTCGCTCCTTGGCGCAATGAGAACTTATAAATGACTGAGCTGTGACCAGCAGTCACGTGATAAAAGTTTGGATACTGTTCGGCTGAACTGCAGAATGTGTTTACAACATTACAGAGAGGACGAGTATCTAGAAGGCAAATTTGGAAACAAAATAAAAATTATAGTCGCAAAATATTTAAAGTATGTTGAGTCTCCATTTTTTTTTAAATAAAAAAAAAAAAAAGCATCTGTGGGTGCTTAGAAAAATGCTGTATGTGGGGATTTTTTTTAACCAATTATCAGGAGAAATTAAAATAAGCTTTTTCTTTATAATGATTTTTTAAAACTTACCTATACTGTACAATGCAGATCTTTTAGTCGTCTCTATTTCCAAACAGGCTTGTGGTGTTTCCATAAAAAAATACAGAACTTTATATTGCAATGAAAAATGTGAGAGGAGCGAAAAACACCAAGGAACTGCTTGAGGTTCAGAGGCTTAACAAGGTGGCCATCAGATTATTATTCAATGCTCTGGGCTTTGTGTTCATCTATTCAAGGTTTTCTTGCCTAAAAGTGTCACCTGATCTTCTTTCGTGACCCATCAATACTTTGCTCAGACGTGCACATTAATATATGATGACAGAAAAGCAAGATAGGTGACAAATTAAAGGACAAGTCAACCCCTTGAGCCAGAACAGCTTTAGCAAATCTTGACACACTGTCCAAATCTGTGCTGGAGGGAAGAACACATTTCTTTCAAAAGTTATTCCCTCATTTGGTGTTTTAATGATGTTGGTAACGGGCACTTGAAGGTCTCCCTCAGGTGTTTTGTTAGGTGGAGATCTGGTGGCTGTGAAGGTCGGAACATTTTCATACTCATAAAACCATTCAGTGAGCTCTTGGGCTGTGGGCGGATCAGCATTCACTGCATTTCAAGTTTTTCCCTTTAATTTTGCACCTGTGTATGTCTGTTCTCATTTAAAGATGAAAACACTTCTGACCGTTTTCTCTGATGCACTCTGTCCTCTGTCTCCTTTTTGGTCTGTCTGGCTTTTCTTGGACCCTTTACCTGTAACATCTCCTTCATTTATTCTCATTTTTCTTTTCTTTTTCTCTCTCCAATAGAAGTCCTTCCTCATTTCTGCCTTTTTTTCCTGTTTCAGTTCGTCCTTTCTCCTCTTCAGTACTGAACTGAAACTCCCCCTTTATAACAAAATCAAGCATTAGAGAAAAAAAGCAGATTCATTAAAGTTAACTTTCTGCTGTTGTTTTTGGGAGATGAAATTATATTCTCTGTTATTGCTAACATTAGTCACCACACTTGGATAATGGGTGTCTTGATTGATTTTGATGAAATATCGTGACTTTAAGCTTTGATTTAATATGTTTTTCTGTTGAAATGGCTCGTCACAGATGAGAAGTTCAAGGACTGTCAGAAAATTGATCTCTTTTCCTAGATTCTAATAATTTGTGTAATTTTGGCAATTTAACAAAAACTTTTCTAACAGGCAGTTGGGTTTGGGGACTCAGTGGGTAACTTAATAGGAAGACTTCTTTGCGTTTTCTGAGTGGCACTCAATTTGCAGAAAGACATATAACCATTTAGTCAAAACAGTTAGTGATCCCTCCTCGACTGCACCTGTTGACCCCTGACAGATGAGATAATCCATTCAGTAGATGCTGCATTGCTGAAAATATTGTGATCTTTTTGTTGTTGGAGTAAATTTGTGCCAATTTCTGATTGATTAATTCTCGTATGTGTAGTTGAAGATGTTCTGTGAAGTTTCTTGTGAACAGTTACGTTTATGGTGTTTCTCCCCTATCCTCTGTCTTTGGTGTCTGATGAACATGGTGCGTTTCCTTCCTCAGTTTTATAGTTTATATTCATATTTTCTACCTCTTCTGGGTTTCTTTTTAATTGAAGCAAGTATTTGTCTTATTACCACCACTAATTGTTTAGATAAACGAAACACACTGAAATATGGCATGAATGTGCATTGTTGTGTTGTGCTCTTGTGTACCTACATGTGCCTTTTAGTTTATGCTCATGAGACACAAAGAAAAAGTAAAAACATAGCATCACACAGCCAGCAGTGGTCGAAACTCACACGTGATTTAATGCTTTGATGGGTTTAGGACTTTTCTATTCCTTGTTTCTTAAGTTCCTTTGAGAACTATTTGGATAAAGTCAAAATTTAATTTCCAAAAAGAGCATTTTGTTGCAGAAATGTTTTTTTTTTTTTTGTCAGTCTAGCATGTGTGCAGTCAAATAAATTCCCAGTGCATCAAGCTGAGCTGCAGCACAAGGCTCATTTTTACATTTTTCACAGCGATTATCTGGGAATTAGAAAGATAAGGTGACAAATGAACAAAATGATGTTATTAAAACGAGATGGCCTCGTGATAGCGGTTGCTTTTTAATGTCCTTTATCACCAAGAAATACAGCTGCTAAGCGCTTTAGTAAGTGTCCTAGATTCTATCTGGTTGAGAGAAGCCTTGTTTCTCGCTTGATTTGGTTTCACTCCATTATAATGAAGACAGAAGCACCTCCAGCATTGAAACAGAGGAATAAAAAGTGACCTGTACAATAGCTCGCAGCGAATGTGGCATGAATTCACAGTTCGCTCGTACAAGGACTTCCACTGTCTGTGTGTGAAGAAGCAGAACAACTGTATCATTGTGAAGTTTCCCAGCGAGTCCGAATGTGTAACGGTGATCGAGTCGGTTTATCCTGGCGGGCTGCCTGCTGGAGGCTCTGACAGATTGGTGCCATCAGCGCATTATTTCATTAACACTTGTGTTTTCATGGTGAACATCTTCTCACTCGACATTTTTCTCTCTCTTTCTCTTGCCTCCCCCCTCCTCTCCTCCCTCCCTCCCTCCCTCCCTGCCTGCCTGCCTGCCTGCCTGCCACCCCCCTGACAGATGGAGAGCGAAAAGAAGAGGAGAAAATACTCCACAAGCAGCAACGACTCTGACACCACTGACAGTAAGTTGGAGAGGGAGATGCAAGGAGAGAGTGTTTTAGTGTGTGTCTGTGTGTGTGTGTGTTAATAGGAAACCTGCAAGTGTGAGAAAAGTGAGTTTCTGTGCTGCTGTTGTACAGCGAGCTACCTGATTTTAGTCAACTCCCACAGACTATTTCTCATATTCACTCTCTGTATAGACCTCCCTGCCGTCTCACTGTTGTCCTTTCTTTGCTCATTACGAGTTCCCATTTTAAAACACTATAGAAACATGAATACATTGCTAAAGTGGCAATTAAGTATGACGTAAGTGTATTTAGAATAAGATGTTGTTAAGAATGAAGTCAAAAATGTATGCACATCTTATGAAAATAGTTGTTTTTTTTTCCCCCATATTTAGACAAACCAACATTTGATCCTCTTTAAAACTGTGCCTACAGATAAAGGTGATATACTTGAATAACACCACAAGGAAAAGTGTTATTATCATTATCATTTATGTGCCAAAAATATCAATGGATGCAATATTCTTTTGTTGGAAAAATCATCTGAAACTAGTACTGCTCCTTTTAGCAGAAATAGCTTCTTGTAGGAGTGTTGCATAAGTGTCACTTTGCATTTCTCTGCCCTTACTGTAAAACCATGTGACAAAAAAACCCCTCTTAAATCTTGAATCTAGAAGTTTGCATTCGCTTTCTGACATTTCTTTTCCTTCATGCACAGACCCTTCAGTTGCAAGATATTTGAGGGATTTCTTACATGTGCAGCCTTTTTGAACCCCCCCACCCCCCAACATGACTGTCATAGGGGTGTCACAATACCAGAAATGTCCGCGATTCTTGATACCAAATTTAGTACCAAAATAATAAATGAATCAAATGAATCTCTTATGAAATTCTCTCATGTAGAGTCCTATGACATGTTGATTCTATACTTTTCCAGTTTTTGTAGAATAATCAAAGAAAATCCATTTTTCTTATTTCTTTTTTATGATTTATGGCATAACTGTGTCATACTGCATAGAGGACATTTTTTGAGTTCTCTCTACTTCTAGTCATGATTTTGCAGTTTCCACTGAGGTGCAGAACTTTATATCGCATTGAAAAATGACCCAACAGTGAGGACAAATGAGACGGGAGCAAAAAGACGCCCAGAAACTGCTTGCTTGAGGTTTAGAAGGTTAATAAAATCCCAAATAAATGCACGCACAGTGGTATATTTTGGCAGTAGTGACGGTAGCGCAACACACAGCTCAAGTTATGAGTTACGGCTACTTCAGCCCTAACAAGTTAATCTTTGTGAATGTTGTGTGTGGAGTGTTGCTACAACAGACGCAGCTGTTGCAGTGTGCAAACAATAAGAGAGACATCCAGTGTTTGTGACCACATGTTGCTAATATAAAGTAACAACTGAAACTGTCTGACCTTAAATTTTGTATACAGATCTGGATGTCTTTGAGCTGCTAAAAGTTAGGTTTTTTTCCCCCAGATGCTCTGAGACACCGTTTGCATTGTTTGTAACTTGGAACCTGTGTATTGAAGTCATCTATGATACCTTTGATATTTTCAGTACCATAGAAAAACGACCATGTTTTCAGAATTCAGGCATCAACTTGGTACCAAACTATCGCATCTTGTGACATCCCCAGACTGTGCAGTTCCTTTAAAAAAAAATCCTTGTATTTGTCTATCTCTTGTGTTGTCATTTTCCGTCTCTGTTGTAGAGGTCTGGTCTGTGTCTTTCGCTTCTGTAATGCTCCGGATAAAGAGGAGACCGGGAGGACAGGCACAGATAAAACCTCTGATCTCGGAGGATAAACTGAGTTGATGCTGCATGAACATACCGAGTATTGTCGAAACAAACAGGAGGAAGGGAGTTGTGGTTTTGTGTGAAGTAAACTTGATGATCTGTGTCTGTGATGTCAACACAGGCTTCATCGGCTCTCTTCTTCCTTTTGATAGGACATTTATTGTGAGCATTTGGCCGCACTTACCTCAGTGTTGTCGTAAAACATCAGTCTTACACCATCTCCACCTGCTGCACTCACTTATTTTGTGCCTTTTCTGTGTCTTATTACCTGAAATAGGTTCAATTCTTACATCAGTAATATAACAATATTATATTTTTATCAGCTGCGGTTTCATTCAGATGGGTTTGCACTGCGACCAAGTAAATGTTTTCCAAGATCACACAACATTATATCATTTTCTGTGCCTGGTGATCTCAGACAAAGCTCTCTGTTGCTCGCAGAATGTGTCTGGATGTCAGACCCAGGAGCTGCTGCCTTAGTAAATCAGGCACTTAAAACACACAGATTGTGGCCACAAAGTCAATAAAACCCTCATCTCACATCTGCGGTGCGCAATTTACTTAGGAAGTCTGGCCTTATGTGCTTTGGAAGTAATGTTAAGCAAATGCAACATGCACTTAATAGGCCAAGTGATGAATGAATGAGTACTAGATGACGGATACATAGTTTGATAGACTGGCAGATACGTTTTGTTAGTCGTCAGACAGACTCAACCAACCACACAGACAGACAGACAGACTGCCATGAAGAGATACGCTGCACTATGTTGGGAACATCTGGCCAGACTACCACATTACCATCGCTGGCAGCTTCTGCTGGAACTTCATCTGATAATACACAAGCACATTTGGCTTTCACAGCTGATCACTGCCTTCAAAATAGAAATGATTTAGTTCCTGAAGACAGCTAGCAATTTTAATTTAATTTTAATGTCATTCTTCTTAGTTTTTGTCGGTTCCACATGACCAATTCTTGGCATTTTGCAGCATGAATATTGCAAAAAGAAGCAAATTTATTTGTTTGGTTATTCCCACAGCAGCGACAGACAAGAAAAGACAGAAAACGAACTGAATGAAGTTTTCAGATGGCATTTTATATGCGGTTAAATTAGTTTATGTAACAGAGAATTATCCTATGTAACACGAAGCAATAAGCTCTCCAACAAGGTGCCTGAAATGAAAATTGTTTTCAAAAGTATTCTTAGTTGCTTTTGTCACATTTCTGTGGTCTTCAGATTAAATTATTTTCATTTGGGATTCTCTTTTTCTGGAGTGAAATCTAATTTCCTTTTGCAGTTAAACCCTCTGAACCACAAGCAGTTTCTGAGTGTTTACTTTTTTTGGTTCTTGTCACATTTTCACTCACTGTGCACCTCTGTGGAAACAGCACAACCATGACCAGAAGCAGAGGGAACACAAAAATATCTTTCGTGCAGCATAACAGTTTTAGTGCCGTAAAGCCTAAAAAACAAACAAAAAAAATTCTTTGATTATTTTACAAAAAATTCAAAGTAACAAATGGAATCAACTTTCCCCAGTACAAACAAGTGTGAACAATAGGACTCTGTGTACTGTATATATTTTACTTCGTATGTCACCTGACTTGCTCGCAGCTGAGTCACTAATGGTTTCCTAGTTGTACCAAGGAGTGCATCATTTTTAGTTTTTTACTGACTTTAGTGCAAATGGTTTAAGTTTAGTGATTTTTTAAATTGTAATGTTGATGAGATATTACAATTTTAAGCTCAGATCTGGTCAAATTTTCCAATCGAGCAGCATGCCATAGATGATTAGTTAAAAGGTTGAATATTCAACGATTCTTACAGCGTCTAGCTCTAATGTTTTCAGTAACTTTTTTTTTTTTTTAAGGACAATATGCCTTTTAAACCAGCCAATGGGTTTTGGGGTTCAGAAGGTTTTTTAAAAAAATCTAAAAGATGCTATCCTAGTTATAAAACAAATTTGGAAGACAAGAGCATCTTTTCTTTCTGTATTTATTTATCAAAAATGGTCAGATATGGAGGCCCTGATGTCGCTTTTGAAAGTTGAAGGTGGTCACCAGGAGGAATGTCCTAACCCTTTTTATGTGAAAAAATACACTTTTAAATAATGGGACATTTGTGTCTAGGGCGAGGTTAATTCTGGGTAATGTAGTCACAACTGTTTACACCACAGGTTGAAGTGACCTCTGACAGGTTTAACTGCTATGTGGCCACAGGTCTGCATGTATAATGTATTTTACAACAGGTTTAACAGGCTGTTTTTCAGAGGTGACTGGGCCACCCTGCGCTCGAGGCCATACTGTCTGCTTCTTTATAATCAGCCTGTAGCTGTTAGCTTCCTCTGGCCGGTGCAGCGTGGGCTCCAGCTGCATCTGCTCACTGGAGGTTATCAGGTTTCTAATTGAAGGATGCCCATGATAATTTTGGCTGCTGTGCACCAAGCGCGGCTTTTAATTAACACACGGCCATGATGGTAACCTCCAACTGCGCTGTGGTCCGTTTGGTTATCTGGCCACAGTGATGGAGCTGTGCAGCTGCCTTATGTGAGGCATGTGGACGTAACCTGCACACACACACACACACACACACACACACACTCTCTAGTGGAATCCAGATGCATGACTACACTCAAAAATGTCCAGCAGAGTTGCACACAATCCCACGAAATATTTTTATATCTGCCACAGACACATGCACATAACCCAGCAGTCCTATACAAAGACTTGTGGGCAAACACACACACGCAAACAGTTGTCTATACAATCTGTGACAAATAAGGAAAACAACAGTGTCTTAGGAAGGTGTTGTTCAACATTAAGCCTCCAGAACAGCTTCCTTGGCAGGGCTTCTCGGAGTCTGTATGGTGTTTTGATTTTGGTGGTGGAGAGTGCTGCTGTCTAATATCCAAAGTCTCCCACAGGTATCAAGCTGTGTTATAATTAAGATATGTTTAAAAAAACAAAAAACAAAAAAAAGGAAGAAGAAATATGTGCACATAATTACACAGTGTCAAGTTTTTTGTGGTTTTAATATTCGCTTTTGGACAAAGTAGAGTTTCTGTCTCACAGTTGACCTTTTAAAGGGCAAACACAGGGTCTGTCACAAATACATGTAGTCATGTTGGCTTATTGGGATTTTATTCACATTTTGTAACACATTAGAAAAAATTATTGGAAAATGGCCAAATTTGAAGAAACTTACTGAAGTTTTTACACTTTCACTTACTTAAAGAAAAGTTTATGTGCATAATGGGTAATGGAAACCCCTTTTCTGAATAAGTTTTGACACAGTGAACATACAGTTGACATGATTGTCAGTTGTTTCTGAATCCTCATCTTCAGACGCCATGAAAAATAAATTACAGTGTGCCTAACTGAGAACTATTTCTGAAGACTTCTGTGCTTTTTTTCCTCATAGATGGCAAACAAAGTTTTGATCGTTTCTTCTTTTTCTTCGAGGCGTTTTTGCGGTCTGGCTTTGTTTCCGGCTTGTTTCACTTCGTCAGTTACGGCCATGCATAATGTCGCCTTTACTGCCACCTTCTGATGACACAAAACAGCCAAGTTTATTTGCTCCGAAGAAGATCGTGAAAACAAGCCTAATTCGCACTATTTTTGTTAGTTTGTTGTGTCTTTCTGAAAAATTTGCTTCCAGTTAGCTTGATGGTTATATGGAGACACAGTTATTGTGCCCCACCACGTTCTCTAAGGTGACACACTTTGATGCCACAGGCTAAGTGGACGATTAATGCCACCGTGTTTGACAAAATCCTCTCGTGGCTGGTAGTAATACATATACACTAACCAGCCACAATATTAAAACCACCTGTCTAATATTGGGTAATCTTGTGGCGAAAAAAACAGATCTGACCATTAATCTGGCTTCTTCCGGTACATCCTAAAGATCCTCAATCGGACTGAGATCTGGGATATAAGACAAGATTAACTTTATTGTGGAAATTTACATCACTTGGGAAATTGACAAATTGTACTTCGAGGCTGAGTTAAAACCTTGGACTCTTTGTCATGTTCCTCGAGCCATTCTCGTGTTTTTTTTTTTGATGTAGTAGGGTATATTGGGCTGCTGGGGGAGGCTGCTGCCGTCAAGGAATGACATTACCATGGAAATGTGTGCATGCTTGATCTGCAACAATGGTTAGGTTGGTGGCAACTGTCAAAGTAACATCCACAGGAATGCTAAGACCCAAGACACAGCTTTCGAATGCAGGAACTTGCTGCCGTTTACACGAACACCCACAAAAATTGGCCCTTTCTGCCTTTCTGTTTCCGTTGCTGGGTAGCATCAAACAACTACGACTGTGCCAAAACAGTGACAAATATTATAAATATATATAACTTCAGGGGCTGCAAGGTGACGCAGTTGGTAGCACTGTTGCCTCGCAGCAAGAAGGTCGCTGGTTCGCATCCGGAATCTTTCTGCGTGGAGTTTGCATGTTCTCCGGGTTCTCCGGCTTCCTCCCACAAGGTCCAAAAACATGTTGAGGTTAATTGATGATTCTAAATTGTCCGTAGGTGTGAATGTGAGTGTGCTTGGTTGTCTGTCTCTAAGTGTAGCCCTGCGATAGACTGGTGACCTGTCCAGGGTGTCCCCTGCCTTCGCCCTAAGTCAGCTGGGATAGGCTCCAGCCCCCTGCGATACTAATGAGGATTAAGCGGCGTATAGATAATGGATGGATGTAACTTCAGTTCTACTACCCCAATGGAAACAGATCAATGGGATAGTATTAGCCTAAATAGTCACTTTGTTGATGGCGACGTTAGAAGAAGAAAATGGTGTCTCGTCAAGTTGACCTAATCAGCATTTGTCATTTTTAGGTTTAATAAGTCATTGCAATTTTTCAGAGCTACTCAAACGTACCATCCTGAAATAGGTACTTTTCTGTCATCTGAAAGTGGCCCTGACGAGGTTCTGCAAGGGGGATTTTTGTGGTTGGAACATGCATAAAGGTTTCTAAATTGGCCTGCAAGTTCCTGAAGTGCAAACCAAAGTTTCTCAGCAGAATATTGCATTGTCATTTTTAATGTTGTGGCTTATGGGCGTATAAATACGTGCCACTCGGCGGTGAAGTTGTCAGCAAAATGTGTGCGTCGATGGGCGAAAATGAGGGCGAAATATGTGGTAAATACATGTATGTGTTTGTTGCTCTTTGTACAGTGAATGTTCTTGTGTGAATTGGGTGTGTGTATGTGTGACAGCGGGAGTCGGTAATTTTGAAGACAAACCTGACAGCAGCTTTGCCGTCGGCGCACTGAGTTGCTCAGACGTCACATGTAAAATTAGCGTGGTGGCGGCGCTGCTGTGGCGGCAGGGGAAATATGTTGAGTGGGAGGCAGCACACGAACGCACACACAGTCACGGTCACAATGTGCTACATTACACAGTGTTGGCAAATTTGTGTTTTCCATTATGTCAGTGTGATGTAATGTAATTGCCAATTTGATGCAATTTTTAATGACAGCCTTCTTCAAGGAGCGTACATGAATATGAGCTTTCGGGTGTATCTGCTGCAGTGGTTTTGTGATTCCCCCCCACCTCAAAAAAAAAAAAAAAAAAGCATAAACAAAATCACACACACTCATTTGCTCTCTTCTCTCCTTATCACAATGGCCTCTATTCCCACACATGGGAATAGGCGCTCACAGAAAAACACACACAGGGCTGTTGATTGAAGCGGTGGGTGGGATATTGGCTCCAGTGTCTGGTTAATTGCAATTAGGTTGTGTATTAATGAGGTTGTAAAGGACCACAGTGGACTAACAGCTTAACAAGATGCTATTTATACTGTCATTACTTATTAAACCTCTTAATAGATCATCATCAGTCTGCTTCGATTAAAGGTCTGACTCAGAGTGGTAGATGCTGCCACGGGCGTCGGAAAAGTCATATTGAAGCTTTTTGTTTAGCCGCTTTCTTTTAGTGCCTCTCTTCGAATCACCTCCATCCGTGTAAATTGCAAAAGTCTTGAACCTCATCTCATTTAAGGACTCTTGACGAGCAGCTGTTGGCTTTCTAATAAGATTCCCTGTTTTATTACGCTCGTGTTGGAAACCTTTTCTGCACAACAAATTTCTCCAGTGGGACAAGAAAACTTTGTTTGGAGTGAATTTATTTGCGAAGCGCCAGAGAGCTGTTCTTCATATTCCGCAGTTTGAATCAACATTCGCACATTTTTAAGCATTCTTGACAAATCAAACACAGATTAAGTTTTCCGTGTGTGTGTGCAAATACTTTCCAACTGTGAGGCTTGAGAAAGGAAGGTCAGAAAAGGCTAATCTGTTTGTTCACCCTTCAGCTCCTTCATTAAATATTTAGTAGAAAACAAATGCTTTTTAGTCCTAATTAAACCGACCTTGGTTTTCTATCTTTATCGCTGCAGGTCAAGTGACGTCGTGGTCCAGATCATCCAAGAATACGGGCACCAGCAGCACATGGGTCCGCCACCAGCACAAGAAACCATCCGAGGTAAGTTGGCGTGGCAGCTCGGCTCAGTGACTCAGGCGCTTAGAGTACACAGAAAATGTGTTTAATGAAACACAGGCTCTCTTTGACCATGTTACAAGCTCCACTTCAGCACTGTCTGTGAAAGACATTTGTTGTGGCTTTTGCTGAATTGTCAGAAACGGTTAGATGACAGCATTTTGTCTGGTTGTTCGTGTTGCTGAATACCAGAATGGTTTTCACATTTTTATGATCGCTTTTCATGAAATGCGCTGCTGAAAAAGTGCAGATGCAGCAGCTGAACACTTTTTTAAAGTCCCTTTCCCGTGATTTAATAAACCCACAAAAACCCAACTCTGTGAATCAAGGTTGCACATTTTAGAATTTATTTTCATGAAAATAATCCCTTAAAGCCTTAAAATGACTTAGATGTAGGTACCAGTCCCTGCCTTTAATTCTATCCACTCTTTATTCCCCCACCTGCTGCAGCTCAGGCACACCAGCTCACCTGTGACTCTGCTCAAATGTTACTTTACATGACACAATGGCAAGCTGTAATACTGAAGTCATTCCCCTACACATACCAGATATGACAGTGACACTGAAAGCACCACCCTGCAGTTGATCGAATTGGTTTTGTAGATTTGTTACGTACAAGACTTCTGAAGTCGGAATCTCTGTTTTGGAGACATCAGTATGTTGCAAAGTAAGAATCATAGACGACAGAAAATATTGATGTAGAGACCATGACGTTATGACTTCCATTTTGAAACGTCGAGTTTGGAATTTGGTCGTTGCAATGTTGGCCTTTTGAAATGATGTTAGGAGCAATAATCTAAGTGGTGAACCCATGGACACTGTGCACGATGATACGGTAGCAACCCGTCAATCACAAGGCATATCCCGCTTTACTGTCTTTTTTACTCTAAATTGGACAACAGTGGAAACCATTAACACTGTGACACTTTTCATAACTCCTGAAACTATAGATTGAAACTGTAAACCTATTAGGAAAATGTTAAATGTTAAAGCGGTAGTAGCTTGAGTTAGAAGCAAAGTTAAACTGACTTCTTTTGTAACCAGAGGAGTCGCTCCCTGCTGGCTATTAGGAAGAATACAGTGTTAAGACACTTGACATTGGCTTCACTACTCAGACTCAGAGGTCATGCACATCTTTTTCATACAGTCTATGGTGGAAATGCTGAGCCATGTTTACTGATTCATGGAGAGATCACACAATCCCGAATGTCTCAGCAAAAACAAGATTATTCCACTGTGAAAGTATACACACATAAAAGAGGCAACAATAATTCACTCAGATGGCAAATTAGATGAATCTACACCGCGTGCTACCTAGTTTGAAGATTGTGAAAGCGCTGATCCAGCCACTGCAGCTATGTATCAGCGAAACAAACACTTCTGTCCAATGTAAATACAGCCATCTCCGTCACCACAGCTAAATCAACCAGGCGCATGGATGGCACAAATTGGTTGGGTAAAATACCAGGTTGGAGCATCCATATGGTTGTGATGAATGATCTCAAGGACTCTCAAATGACCACCCTGAGGAAGAAACTGGCATAATCCAGTTGGAAAATGATGCACTCTACCAGTTGTGGCAAGGCATTGCCTGCCACAATCACACATTCCTCCCACTCTGTCAGTGAAGTAGGTTCAAATCTGTTTAAGGGGAACTCATCTCTCTCTGTTTGAAGAGTTTCACTCCAAAAATAACTATCTGCCATTTGGAGCAAATTACATCTGCTCTTAAAAATTAGCAGCGGAGGATTTTGAAATAAAGCAGAGAAGGTAACAGCTTCTGATGGCACTTCTAATGATGTTCAGTAACAAAGCTATTTCAGAAAATGAATTAAAACCATTTTAGAGGGGAATGTGCTCTCACCTCCGCCACATTTTCTCTGCATCCTTTCACAAAAAAATGTCAAAACTAAATGAAGTAAAAGAGCACAAATGGTTTGTTTTGTTGCAACTTTTGAAAGGAAAATGGATAAAACAAAATGGCACGCGTGCCCCCGAACCACCCTGAAGTACAAGTCATCAGCAGAGCATCTGTCAGGCCTGCGCATTTGAAGCTTCCTCCCCCTCAGCTCCTTCCAGTTAACCACAGGCTGTTGGAAGGTCCTGTCAGCAATCAGTCTCTCAGTAATTACTACTGTAGTTCTGTGCTCTGACCTGGGCCTCAGCTGAAGAGCCAGGGGCCACGTTCCCTTTCATAACGCTGCCTCCTCGCTCCGGGGCACGCTGCTCTTTCATAAAGGATGATGTTTTGAAGTAATTTTTCGGCTTTTTTTTTTCCAGAAAGGCAGTGAGTGACAGGAAAGGTTGAACAAACAAAAAGGGCGGGTGACATCTGACAAAGGTGCAGTGCAAAGTTTTGAAGTCGAGAGTTGCGAGTGCGTCTGAGCTGATTTCGGAAAAGCTCAGCTCACTGAATGTGAGAAAAAAAAATGGTGGCACTTGCTGCTGCTGGAGGAATTTTCAATAATCTGATGAAATTTTAATCATCTGTGTACTTGTGCATTGATGAATGACGATAAAATCTACTTCAGGTTGCACTTAGTGACGTTTAAATCAAGACCAAGATAATGTGATTAAATCATTGCTGATAGAAAAGTGCGACTCATCGAGTAACTTCACTGAATTCATCAGCTTCGTTCAGCCACTAGTGCACCACTGGCTATGTAAGTGAATCTACTGAGTAATTTTGAAAACGCATTATATAGAAAATTAGTTGTCTTGTACATTCTGGTACGACTGTGCTGCTAAAGGAGAACTGCAGCTTCGGTTAGTTATTTCATTTATTTCATTGATGCTGGCTTAATGCCTCAGCATGCTTCAAGTGAAGTGGCTGCTGGATTGTTAAACAGCGTCTGACCCATATTTCCAACTTTGGAGTTTGCAGCACACTAATTTCAGACTTTCTGAAAGCAGACAGTTCAACAATCATGCACAGTTTACACAGCGATTGACCAGGCGTAAAAGTTGGCTCATTTTGAACTCATTTCTGAAGCTCGTTTTTCGTTCTTGAAACTGTTGCTTCAGTTATTTTCTTTGTACAATCAGGAGCAGAGCCATGAATGACTTTGAGGACAAAACCTGTTGTCATCTTGTCTTAAGATTGCGAATCTGAAACGACATACAGAAACCACGAGGCACTAGTTTGCAGCCAAAAAATCTTCGAGTTTGGGCATCCAGAACATATGACAAGCTGTTTTTACATTTAATAACTGGATTGAATGTTGGTCTGACCAAGTGTTCTAGCAGTGTTTGCAGACTTGATGGTGGTTACTGTGTGACAACATTGTTCGAAAATGCCATGAAACAGGAAGAGTTGATCGACAAGGAGTTGGTAGAGAATGAGAGATTCATTTATTTGAGACTTGTGATCAAAATTTATGAGAAAATCGGCGTCAGGCTGTTATGGCTTGGCAGTAAAATGGCTTGTTGTATTCAGTGGCTACCAATATTTTCAATCTAATTTTGCATAGTAAAAACTGTGTAATTCTGACTAGTTCAAACCTAATATAAGATGTCTGAAAAGGAAAATGTTGATATCTTGAACTGAGGGGAATTAAAGATATCTGAAACTAGAATTATGACTAGGTGGAATTTACCTGGAAATATTTGGAACTGGAACTACAACTAGTCATAATTCAGCTGCAGATATCTGCAATGAGGGACTCTGTGAACATTAATGGTAAAAAGGATGTGATTTATTGAAGGAAGATTGGCAATATAGATAAGATCTGGAACAGGCTTTCCTCCTCGATTTACGTTTTTAAGAAAAATCTCAAGCCATAAATGTTTGTAGTGGCTTTAGGTAGTTCCTAATGGTCCTAATAATTAGTATTTTATATAGATTTTATCCTAAATCTTGATCTTCCAACTTGTTATTCTGTTTTGCCTTGTTTTAATATATATTTTACACTATTTTATTCTCTTTTTGCAGCACTTTGGTCAACTTTTTTAGGCATGATATATAAACAACCTTGATTTGATTCATTTGCTTTGAATTGAAATGTTCTTTTTGACCAGAATGAATTGAATTACAGATAAATGTAATACATTCCCCAGCTGTTAAACGTTAAAACAGCTTGCCAAAGCAACATGACCCCTCACTTCATCTAGTTCATTTGAAGCATTTAGTGCCACAACCCAAGAACCTCTTTGTGTATTTATTGTTCCTAACATGTTAACTGGAATCATATTTTTAAAGGGAAGTTCATCTTTTGACAGCGCCCTGATGAAGCGCTAAAGAAAGTGTCCTTTAGCTACATTACAGGAGTGAAATCCTTCAGCAACATTTTGCACGTCAACACTTGAACCAGAAGTGCTGGTAGCTGCTGTCAGCGTGTGAAGTGCCCCGAGGCTGCAGCAGCAACCTGTTGTGCGTTTTGCAGGTCAAAGGTTGTGACCGTGACAAAATGGAATCCCTCTTTTACCAATAATACTTAAGCCGGAGCACACTTTTGAAGTCAAGTCGTACATTTTTAGTTGTTAAGTTACTCTTCAGCCTCAGGAGTGTCACTTCTGTTGCTTACCTGCCGAGCGTCAGCATCCAGCCACTTAAGTAAAGCTCTTACTTTGCTTTAAAGACGGCAGCCTGGACACAAACAGAAAACTGTGGAAAGGTCTCGCTCCGGCAGCTTTTAGAGATGACTGGCTCGTCTCTCTCTCTCTTTTTTTTTTAAAGAATGACTGAGCATGACTGTTTTTGATCTGACTAATCAAAAAGGAATAAAGAGGCCTTCTTTGTATCTAAGCAGTAGATTAGCTTGGCTAATATAGATCAGAGAAGCAACTGTCAATACCAAATGTCACATTTCCATGAGGCATTTGGTGTTGAAGTAGTCGGCTCAGCGATGATGCTTATTAGTGCTCTGTCAGATTTTCATCTTGTTTTCAACTTTGCTGATGGACTTTATTGCAGCGTTTCCACCCCTTCCTCACCTGTCAGTCCATTATGTTCAATAACACACTGAAATACAGGCATGTTTTGACAC